CAGAAATTTATTGTAAGTTTTTATTCTGTTAACATATAATTACATTGAAGTGGTACATTCATGTACTTTTTTGATTATTCAAAATTTGTTGTTTCTAAAGCGATTGTTTTGTCTTTGCTGTACTTCCTGTCTAGAAAGGCAGCAGTGCACACATCTTATCAGCTGTGTGTAAACTACAAACAGATATCTTATCAGTTGTTTGTAAATAGCAAATAAAGAAAGTGGCCCAACTTAAAACTATTTACCCTCAGTTCAGTTATGTTTGTAAACCATGCATATTAATGAGATGCACTAGTTGGGTGTACACTGGATAAACAAAAACTTGGCCATTTGTTTGCACACTAGAAAAAAATCAGTTTACTTGTACAAGATATTTTTTTTTCAATAAAATAAATACTGTGGAATACTTTATTTTCGCTGGAATTAATTTTCGCTGAAAAGGCTTTTTGGGCGTTTTGTGTGGAATTTATTTTCACTGATTTTTGATGAGTTTAATTGTGAAATATAGGAAAAAAAGTATATTCGCTGGATTTTATTTTCACGGAAACATCCCTTCAGCGAAAATAGCGAAAATAAATTCCAAGCGAAAATAAAGTACTCTACAGTACACCCATGTATGTAGCATGCCTTAGGGAGCTATTCATGTGAAAAGTGCCCAAAAAACTATTCTGCTACCAAACTAGCATTGGGTTAACAAACTCAAGTTTTAGGACAACATCAAGATAATACAAAACTTAGTTTCGGAATCTCTGTCTACTATCACCCATTTACTGTATTTCACATTAAGGCTCCTCATTACTTCTCATTTGCATACAAGTACTTGCTTGGTCAAGGAAACAAGGAACATTGTTGCACAGCGTAGGTTTAATAGTGGGCCAGTGATAGGTTCTGGAGAACGCAGTTCCAATTTCTCGTCTGTAAACTTTAAAAACAATCTCATTCCACCATCTTGAATTGGATCATAAAACAAATGCATTTACCTAAGCCTATGATTATTATGAAGATTCAATATCATTCCAATATTTTGCACAGAGTGACTGATGCGAAGCATGTCAAAGGAATGAATGAATCAAGAGCTAGTGTGGTGTCTACATTAAACAATCACTGTTACAAGACCAATGATGGTCTGCATGAATAGTTTCACCAACTGTAGTTGTTTTCAGTATTGGGCCACATACACAGGACAACATCTGTGGAAGGGCTGCGGGACTAACAACACTTTGCTATTTTTTTGTTTATGACAAATTGTCACATGCTATGCCAATTCTGATTGGATGAATGCTATATATGCGTCTCCCATCAGATCTATGCATTTTACTGGGGTCAAATATGTAACGTTTCAGTATGTTTATATCAGCAATGTTGCTGTTCATAATGTTTATATCTAAGCCAACTTGTTATTATATTATATGTTATTATATTATAATTATATTTCTGCATATTTATTAGGTAACATGACATTTAATTTGTTATCATCTGACAATCACATGCTACTACAAAGGGTGATGACATATACATTAATATTTTTAATTATTGTTTACTCATCTAATGTATTTATTATATAAGTTTTATTTCAAGTACTTAACAAATTCTCAACAGTACACTCAGAAGAAGTGATTACGGTTGAGCTAACATAAACATAGTTTAACTCAAACAAGTTTTAGGATTGTAACAGCAGTGGGAAAGCAGTCTGCCAAAAGTCGTTGATTGATGAAAATATCAAACAGTCAAAGTTAAACTGTGAATAGCTCCTATGTAATAAGAGCAAGTATTATGAAGGTATAGGCTTTGCATAAGGAGTGAATGTAATTGCAATTGCATGTAGATCAATCCATACCAAATATCACCAAATATCAATAAAATTGATCAAAATGTCTGAAAAACTATGACATATATGGAAACACTAGATTTTGATATGGGCATTTTGAAAAACATGTGAGGACACTATACTTGTAATCAAAGGGCACTGTGAGATTTAACTGTAATAGAGAGAACATCTGAAAGACCCTTTTAAAAAGAACAAAAATATTTAACATGTGAGGGCGCTATCACTGTAAAAACAGCTGCTTGTATAAAGATACCGGTACTCTCATCATTTTTTTAACAGAAAAACATAAAATTTATTCATTTCGAATTTTGGGCTACATCTAGTATTTTGTGATACTTGTGACACAACCTAGTCGGTTTTTATCGCAGCAGTTGTCACGTAAATGTTAGCTTTTGACGTTTTCCAAGAGCAATGGGATATTGGCAGGGAAGTGTTTGATCTTCAGTACACTCTCAATCTGTAAATAGTGGTAAAATATAGATTTTCATTTTATAATAAATAAAGTGGCTCTTAAATATCATTTTATTACTCCATGCCAATCTAATTCACATAATTTATTTGCATAATAATCAGTTTCTTCAACAAACATTGTGATACAGTAACTACAATAAAGAAGAGACATTTTGATAGCTCATATATTCTATGTCATTTTTATATCACTTCATTGTATTCTATGTGTGCATCGAGTCAAATAAAGTTTGAAATAAAACAGCAAAAAAGTAT